TTGTTTGTTTGTTTGTTTTTTAAAAAAAAGCCAGTGTGAATAGAGAGAAATACTGTTCACTGATGGTACATGGAGGAGATTATAATTATTGTAATGGAACAAAGTGTATGATTTGTTGAATGTAAAACTGATAATCTGCCTTGTAAACTTTCACTCAATCCACAATAAAAACCTTAAAAATAAAAAAAATAAAAAAGATTAATCGGACATCAGTAACAATATCCTGTTTTACATCCTCTTCTGAATCCAGCTTGAATTTCTGGCAGTTCCTATTGATGTCCTACGATAGTAGTTATTTATTTATTTCAAACCAAAAATCTCACATATTTATTAGCCAAACTTTTAATGTGCAAGCATAAAAACAAAGCAAGAAACCAGAAGTTTTGCAATATGTTTTCAGTTGATCAGATCTTGGCAAAATTCAACTTCATATGGTAAAGTGCTAGAACCTAAGGACATTAAGTGTGTCATGACATGTGTGACTCATTGGAGACACAGCGTGGCTCTTCTATAATGCCTTCTACTGGAGTTGTACCTGATTTTATTACCAGTTTTCATTCGAATCCACTGGGAAATGGGACAATTCTGTTCTTGTTTCTTGGCCAGGAATCTCTTGATCCCGAAAGTCTTAAATGAAGACACAGCGAGATGAAAGGTAGCAGCACTCACAAGACGGCAAAGAAAGGTGCTACTGTTGTTAAATGCCATATAGTCAGTTCCAACCCACAGTGACCCTTGTATAGGGTTCTCAAGAAGTGGCTGATGAGCTTGAACCGTCAACCTTGTGGATGAAACTGACTTTACAGTCCAGTGCATTATCTCACAGTGCCTACAGTAGTTCTTAGTTGATCTTCTACTTGTGTGTGATATTTATGATTTTGTTTGATAACTCCTGCATTCTGTTAGACCATCAATCTTTGGAATGGGCACAAATATGTGTCTCTTCCAGTCAGTTGACCAGGAGCTGTCTTCCAAATTTCTTGACATAGATAAGTGAGCACCTCCAGTACTATATCCATTTGTTTAAATATCTCAATTGGTACTTCGTCAATTCCTAGAGTTCTGTTTATCACCAATATCTTCAGGGCAACTTGTACTACTTCCTTCAATACCATCAGTTCTTGATGATATGCTACCTCCTGAAATAGTTGAATGTTAATCAATTCTTTTTGATATAGTGGTTCTGCCATTCATCTTTTTTTTTAATGTTTTATTGTGAATTATATGATAGTTTACATGAGAGAACTTTAGTTTTACATTCATTCCATCGTATATCATTTCACTGCCATGGTTCCAATCCCCTCCATGCATCATCTACTGACCAAAGGGTATATCCCAGAAACCCGCTTCCTACACTTCCCCCCTCCCCCTCCCCCAAGTCTTCGGCCCCCAGTCCCTCTCCCTCTCTGGATCCAAAGTCCCCAGCCGCTCCATCACTCCACGTCATCGTCTCTGTCTCTATCTCAGGCATTTCTGCTTCTCTGGGTAGGGTCCCGCTCTGGGCTCTTCTCCGTTGATGGTCCTAGGGACCTCCGCTCCTAGACTGGAGAAATAATCACTCCCTTCCTTGCTACAAAACATCTACCTTTGCATTTCCAACCCTCATAATCAGTCCTGATAACCATTATTCACTACAGTATCACAAGTTACCCATCTGTATTTCATTTCATCAGCTCCGCCTAGACGGACTGGATAGTACTCACTGGTGATTCTGCCTTTCTCCATGCCCCCTAGCTCTAGGTTCCCTCTTGAAAGCTTGTAAGCCAGTCACTTCTTGCCTTTGTAGTCCCCCCCTCCCCATTTGGGTATCCAATGTCCAAGTTGCCCATCTCTGTCTACTCTGTGTGTGGAGGGGGTGGGAATGTTTCTTGCTGTAAGGATTTGTTGCTTCTTTTGAGTCATTGCATTCATAGGTATAGGTCAAGTTCATCAGATTGAGTCAGTTCAATCTTTTTTTTCCCTCTTTTTTCTTCTCCTGGTTGAGCTCTGATCATCCAGTTCAGGTCGTTCATCTTCTTTTGATGCTTCCTGAGTTGGTCAATATTTTGCCCCGAGAATTCCTCAATATTATAACTTGAGACTTGAATTTTTTTCCCCAGTTCTCTCAGCTTAAAAATTGCTGAACATGTTTTTCCCTTTTGATTTTCTAACTCCAGGTCTTTGCATATTTCCTTATAATACTTTATTTTGTCTTTCTGAGCTGCCCTTTGAATTCTTCTGTTCAGTAGCTACAACTTACATAGTTATTAATAAAAGCTTTATAATAAACATCCACAGCAGTTATATTCAGAATGTAAAAATACAAGTAATTTTTTTACTTTCTTTTACAGTTCCTAAATTTTCATCACTAAATATATGTTTTATAATACAGGTAAATAACAGCTATTTTTTAAACTGTATCATAAGTAAGATATGAAAGACTTGAATATCAGTTTACCTATTTCTCACTACTACTTTCAAAAAGCTCATGGTAGCAGAAAGGGCTTTACTACAAAGGCCTTTGAAAATTATTAATCAATATGCAGCACTTGGAATTTTTTTTAAATGCACTTGCACTGTAGGCACAGGGACAGACATATAAGAACAGCAACCTATTATACAAATACCAGTTACTATATTCATTATCTAAAAGCCACTAAGAAGTTCTGGTTGAACACATATAGAAGAAATTTCATAGAATTACTTTCTTTAAGACCAATAGACAGTAAATTTTAACAGAACCACTGAGAAAATGAGTAATAGTTTTGCAAAACATATAATTTTATCAGTTGGTTGTATTATGTTATAATGCAGAGAAAATAAAAGACACATTAGTTATAAATATGTTTACATCACTAAGTAGATAAAATGAAAAACTGACATGCTATTATGCTTTTTCCTCATTTTATCAAATATACTTACACTCTTTGTATGAATTCTGGAAAAGGAGGTAAATGGTGCCAAAAACTTAGAAGATGCTCTTTCCTTTAGACATGAAATATGAATGCTTTTCTAAACAGAGAGGAAAAGATGAAATCCATCAGTCCAGTGTTCTAATGTAATTAAGACTTCTTTAAAAAAGTTAGAACTACAGGACATTCTTACCTTTCAAGTATACCCTCACTAATTCTCTCTCTCCAGCTGACAAAATTTACACCCAGTTCCCCATAGCTCAGTAGTCCTTCTACTGCCAACGGCTGCAATGCAACCTAGTATCCCTAAGATGCCATCTACTTTTAAAATCTTTTTTATGTTGAAGTAAAATGTCCTATAAGAGAAAGATCAGCAATAAGATATGACTGACAAACATGACAGAGCATTTACAAAAAATCTAGTACTTGTAATTAGCAGTAGAATGAGAAGCAGTAACAGCACAAGAACACAGTAATGTGAAGAAACTTGGGACCAGCTCCCAAGCCCAGAGCCTAAAAGACAAGTCTAAAAGTAAACTGGCTCTCTATAGGAACTTTCAGAAAAAATGTTAGACTACAGGCATGCATCACTTAATGTCAGGATACTTTCTGTGAAACAGAACATTATGTGATGTGGACACTGTGTGAACAACATATTAAAATCTTATGGGAGATCACTTCCAGTTGTCCTCATTGCCTTTGCTACTGCTGTTGCTAGCAGAAGCCAGAGGAGGAATGAGTGCCAGCAGCAGGAGCAGCTGAGAGGGCTGGCGCAGGAGCGGACTTAGAGGAAGCTTGTGGGGAAGGAGCAAAGTGCTCCCAGACCCACCACTGTTTCACCTGCCTGAGCAACAGGAGCAGCTTGGCTTGCCCAATGCTATTGCCAGCACACAAAGCCCAAGAGTCCATGTTCAGAGCCAAATTTTGTGTCTTACAAGCCTGCATTTCATTTGTGGTCCATGCTGCAGAGTTTGGGTGTGAAGTCTCCTTAAAACTATTTGAGGGAGATAATAAACAAAAGGAGAGCTACTTTCCCTTTATAAAAACAAATCTTATGGGGCCACAGGTATATATAAGGAAATTGCTCCAACAGATATTAAGCAACACACACCTGTACTGATATGTACAGTCACCACAGAAAGCTCATAAAAGAAATGTTAATACATTCATACACTGTGTAGGCTCTGATCAGGCCTACAGTATCTATTTCCACCAAGGACTTAAATTGAGTACATGTCCATAGACCAGTCACCATCACATAGCTATGTTATGATTCACCACAGGTTTTGTCTAGTCACTGCCATATATCTTTCAGATATGGCAGCAACATTGCCTTAATGGGGTAGTAGGAAATTATACCTGGAATCAGAAGTTAAATTCAGGTAATAAGACTTGCTAAAGGCAGTCTTTGTAACCATTTAAGGTAAGCATATTGGCATTTAAAAGTGGCATATATGTAAATCCTTCCTTAAAGATTCCAGCAATGTGACAATCCCTCACTCTAGACCAACAAAATGCCATTATCAGTATATATTCTATAAGAGGCTGAGGAGCTGTTTTTACCAAACAGCTCTTAGACCATGATCTGCAGCACTACTTTAAAGTATCTTGAAATTCTGCAAGACAATGAAAATGCCGTCACCAATCAAGGCGCAGATTTTCTGAACTTCTTTATAAGGTTATTCTATGTCCAACAAGCACAGGTTTTCACAGTTCATTAGAAAGAACAATTTCAAAGTTACACTATTCTCTTTTTTTTAATCACTGAAAATCCATGCGCTCTTAGTAAAGATCTAGTTTTTTAAAAAGACAATTAGAGTATCTATACAAACAGTACTTTCTTAGCCAGCGTATTCATGCCTGGCTGACTACAGGCATTTTATTAAATGAGTGTTGGCTTCTAATCACATAACACAAGCCTCTATAGCTTCAAGAGAGCTGACCTGGATTTGGAACTGCCTCTAGTACCATAAACTAAAGTGTCAGCTAAACTCTCTTGGCTAATATTCCTACCAGCAAGGATGCAAGAAGCTTAGTGTTCACGCCTTTATAAGAATTGGGTTTGCTCTCAGAAGACTGTATTTCTTTGGGGCCAATTATGTGAACATTTTTAAAGAATCAGTGTTTTTCTCCCGCTTATCAATTCTTCACATCAAGCTTTAATTCATAAGCAGATTATGAAGGAAGATGAATGTTGAAATACCTTCTAATGTCAGCAGGAGAGACTCATGCTGTTAGTAAAAACTATTTTAAAGAAAAGCTATAAGAGATATGAAAACAGACAAAATTCACAAGGGATAGTGTAAATATGCCACACTAAGATAAAATTCAAACTTTTTTATCCTCCCAGGGTTAGGCATTTAAGCATAATGACATATCCACTGTTTAATATAATAATATAGCAGCATCAATAAACAAAGTGACTCATGGTAGTCAGGAACAAATGAGTATTCAACCATAAGCACTTACTGTCTGAACCCAGCAGGTACACATCAGAAATTAGTAATGATGTTGGAAGATATAAGGATTGTGTCAGGGCCTGAGTATGAAGGGAAGAAAGGAAGTCAATACCCAGGTTGTGGATGGATACTGGCAAATACCTGGGGAAAATGTAGGATTGTAAATTGATGTTAAACTTGAATCAACAGAACTAGGTTTCAATTCTGGTACACATTTTAGCTACTGCTGTTATGTGTCATTGAGTCGTTTCCCACTCTAGCAACCTTCTGTGAGGTTTCCAAGGAGAAGCTTGTGGGTTTGAACCACCAACCTTGTGGTTAGCAGTCTAGTGCTTATCCTACAGCACCCCACCAGGATTCCATTCAAACTAGCTATGATTAGGGCTTAATTAATCTGAGTCTCATCTGCAAACCAGAAATTTAAAATATCAATCTCAAAGGATCATTATATAATAAGACCGCAGATGGATAAAACTATAAAATAGCTCTTGTATTTTCGATTTTATCCATATGCAATCTCATTTTCTTTTAATTATCTATGAGGTGGGATAGTATATTCATTTTATAAATGTAGAAACTGAGTCTCAGAGAACAAAGCTAATTTTTCTGATATTTTCTATAATACACAGTTGCTTATTAAAAACAAATATAAATATATATATATAAATAGATAGCCTATTATTTTATACAAAGAGGGAACTGAATGAAGATTTGCTAAAAGATTTTATGTAAAAAAAAATTCTCTATTCTTGTGAGTAAATCTAAATTTTTTTACAATTAAAAGAAAAAACCGTAGATTACACACAAAAAAGTCTGGTTTACCCTTTGAGAATCATCTCACCAGAGCACACTAACTATAACAGCCAGAATAAGTAGAGGAAGTCAGATCATGAATTCTGTAACATTTAGCTTGGCCATTTACTTATTTCAAACACCAGTGAGAAAAAAACTATTAAACATTATTGACATGGGTTCTTTATCAAAGCCCAGATATGGAGTATATGGTTGCATTGACCAATCTGGTACATATTAGACCATTATGGCACTTGAAATGTAGCCAGTGTAAATGAGGAATTGAATTTTTCATTTTATTTTTTTTAATTTAAAAACTAACACTCAACTGGAAAACTTTAAAGTATGCTGGAATTATTTGGACAAATAGAACCTACCTTTCCAACTGTAAATTTTATGAAGCCTAAATACATATCAAGTATTCCAGTAAGAAATTTGTCTGAATTAAGATATGCTTGCTGTAAATGCAAAATACACAGTGAATTCTGATGACTTAAGGAAAAGGAAATATAAAATAGCTTATTAATAATTTAATTATAGGCTGAAATAATATTTTGAACATATTGGGTTAAATATGTGATTAAAATTAATTTGCTTCTTTTACTTTCTTAATGTAGTTATTAGAAAAATCTACCTTTACATGTATAGTTCATATTAGTTATCTATTAGACAGCACTAGCACAAGAAATGAAAAGAAGATTGAATGTGAAAGAGTATATAACTGTAAGAGAAGAAACTTCACCATTCAAAGGGGCAATGGGCAAACAAAATAGAAGTGACACAGATACACTGATAACAAAACAAATACCTAAAGTATATATAGATAATATCTTAGTGTTGAATACAGTGCCACCTAGCAGACATAAAAACCTACCTTGTTTATTTCATTTACAATAAAGTCCTCTGAAGCTGTAACCTCTGGGATGCCATCTAGGCCAATTCCTTGACAAGTTAAGCTGCCATACAAAGTTGGTTTCCCTGTATAGCATAAAAGAAGCAAGCCTCAAAAATTAATAAGAATTTCACATTTTTCTCACTAATTCATTTATATAGATAGTAGGAAATTAACTCATGAGAGAAAAGCAAGTACCTGTGTTAAAAGTGAGGTGAAAGGAAAAGAACAACAGGATAAGCAAACCTCATTTGGAAGGGAATATTTTCAAAGGCTTAAAGTTAAGACCAACAATTTAGAGATATGCTATAGCATTTGTATAGAGTATAGCATTTATATACAGCACATGCTATATGCGATAGCATTTGGTGAGATTACTAGAGTAATCTCAACCTCAGTTTTACTGGCTGTGAAACAGAACTCTCCCAGGAGGAAAGATGGAGATCAGCATGCACATATGCATTTATCCACAGTATATACATGTGGAATTGCCATGAGTTGGAACCAACTCAATAGCAACTTTTTATTTTTAAAAAACACATATAAAATATGGAATCAAGAATTAAGCTTCAGTAATCTAGAAAATTTGCTTTTGCAGTGATGTGGCTAAAAAAGGTATTACCTTACAAGTAAACATATGCAGATGGTAGAATGGAGTTAAAAAGTTTCTCTTCTTCCATAATTTTTATATACATTCTATAACACCCCATATTACATGCTGTTTTACTTTTATTTGACTTTTCACTATACTGTGAAGTCCTTGAGTTTAGGAACTAGCAGGGTGCAAGTTATTCTGCCAGGAGCCAGTCCCGGCAAATTTATTTCAAGGGTTTTTTCCGAAGGTTGATGCGGACATCAGCAATAAGAATTACACGGAGTCAATAAGTCGTAATGAATTCAAAAATTTTCTTACTACATGCTTTATTCTTCTCATTTCTATGCTACTCTACTCTCTCGTTCTTTACTGTCCTACTCATTCTTTACTCCCCTGTTCTCCTACTCATCTCTTCTGTTTTTCTCCCTTCCCCTGCTCCTGCTTTCATTCTCTCCTCTCCTGATCATCCCTTCTGCTTCTTTTCTCCCTTCCCCTGCTCCTGCTCTACATTACTCCCTCTATCCTC